TACTTAAAACTTTGGAACAGATAGTTGATAGTATGGTGAAAAGCAGTATACCCGACAAAGACCTAAAATTTAAGCAGCATGCTTATGTAAAGGGACGATCGGTGGAAACCGCTTTAAACGAAGTTGTCCACTACATAGGTGCATCCTTTGATAGCAAACTGTATACATTGGCGGTATGCATTGACATCGAAGGCGCCTTCAATAACGTGCACACTGATACTATTATCCAATCCCTAGACCAGTTTTATGTTGACCGGCTGCTCCGTAACTGGATCAACCATATGCTAAGGAACAGATGGATAAGCTGCGAGATGTACGATATAACTATCAGGAAAAATAGCCACCTAAGGACCCTAACTGAGAAAGGACTTAGACCTGTCTGCTATGCAGACGATGTCGTAATACTTTTAAAGGGAAATGATCCAAATTACTTGTGTAGAAGAGGTGAGGTGGCTCTGAATACGGCCTTGAGCTGGGCTCAACCGAGAGGCCTCAATGTTAACCCGGCAAAAACGGAAAGCTGTCTTTTCACAAGAAAGACAAAAATGTCTACGTATACTGAACCTTGCTTCCTGGGCAAGAAGATACCAGTGACAGACAAAGTTAAGTACTTAGGTGTAATCCTCGACCGGAAATTAAAATAGAGACACCACATAGAGGATAGGATCAACAAGGCACATCGGTGCTGCGCGATATGCAGGAGAAATGGGGTCTTAGTCCTACTATGACAAATTGGCTTTATAAAAGTGTAATTAGACCAATTCTAGCTTATGCTTCAATAATCTGGTGGACTGCTTTAGACAAAAAGTGCAATATCAAACTACTACAGGGAGTTCAGCGTACATGCTGCTTGGGTATAAGTGGTGCCATGTCTACTACTTCAACCAAGGAAACTGGAAACTTTGCTAGATATTCCACCCATTGAAACATATTTAAGATATGAGGCGGCGCTTACAGCCGAACGGCGAACTGGCCAAAAGCGGTTATAGGACACGTTATCAATGTATACTGGACACATTGGAAGGTTATACACAATCATCGGACGTGCCTGATCGTATACCAGACACAGAATATGTCGGAAACTTTGAAACACAGATAGAATGTCTTGGTCAAGCGGAACATTAGAGCAAATACCATTAGGAATCCGTTGTTACACGGATGGCTCTAAATTGGGGGACAAAGTGGGGCTGGGTTTCTATATTGAAGACCCAGAAACAGAAATATACCACCGTTTACCAAATCATAACACAAGCTTCCAGGCAGAAGTACGAGCAATAACGGAATGCGTAAATTGGATTAGAATATATAAGGCGCCCACAGCGCTTAATATATTTACCGACAGCCAGAAGGCAATTAGGGCGATATCAGGCGATAGAACTAAATCTAAGACCGTATTGGATTGTATGAAAGCTTTAACTGAATACTCTCCCAGGCCCACTCGGGAGTAGTCGGTAACGAAAGGGCGAATGTAATAGCTTTAAAGGGAAGGGAGCTCGAGGCAGTTAACCTAACAAACGCAAAACCATTCGACGCAACAAAAGCTGAACTAAAAATATGGGTGAGAGAATCCCATAAGGCCTCTTGGAATGATGAAACAGTGGGTAGAACCACGAAGATCCTATGGGGTGACCCTGATGAGAGCAAGACGAATAATCTCCTCAAAATGAGCAAGTCTGAAGTTAGTATGATGGTACGTATTCTGAGTGGACACACAGGACTACGAGCACATCTATGCAAAATTGGACGTGCGGATTCAGACGAATGTAGAGCATGTGGAGAGGACAGTGAAACTCTGGAGCACTTTCTTTGCCACTGCCAGGCATTCGTCGAAGTTACATACAAGTATCTTGGAAGTGATCTTATTCCGGAAATAACATTCCTGACTAACACTGATTGGAAGATTCTTAGGAATTACGTTCAGGAAACTGAGTTTCTGAACACTGAAAAATATATATATTTTTTTTTCGTGATAAGGAGCGCACAACAGGCCCGATAGTGGCCTAGGTGTATTTCTTCGGATTTGATGTAGTATACATCCTCCTATCGACCTACCCTACCTACCCTACCCTAGGTAAATATAAAAACCATAAAAAATTTAATTTGTAGTAATTTTCATTTGAAACCATTCAGCTGGATTACACAATTACACAACAATTAGTCGTATCACATTTTACTGGTCAGGAATTTGGGCTGATATTGAGAATTACTTAAATCATGTGATGGTTGCAAGAAGTACAAACCAACTAACATGAAACCTATGGGCTTATTACAAAAGGTATGCAGTAATAAACGATTTGAAGTTATTGCAGTTGATTTGTTTTGACCCCTTCCAAGGTTCTAATCGTTGAAGAAAGAAGATGTAGTCACTGGGTTGAATTATTTGCTTTAAGAGAAGGTTCTTCAGAAAATTGTGCTTTAACGCTATTAAATGAGGTAATCTTTAGATATGGTAATCCGCGCAGAATTCACACTAACAACGGAACTCAGTTTATATCATCATTGATGCAGAAGCTAACATTTTGTTTTGGTATACAGCAGTCGTTTACTCCAATATACCATCCAGAATCAAATCCTGTTGAAAGAATAGAGATGTTGTGCGCCAAGAAGGAGCACAATATATGGAATTTGATGTTACCAGTCAAAGCATTCGCAATGAATACAGAAAAAGGCGACAGTACTGGTTATACTGCCGCATATCTTACATTTGGAAGAAAATTAAGAACACCAACAGAATTACAATATGATTTTAAAGCGATTGTGAATTCCGAAAACTTCATAAATAAATTACTCCATATCTGCTAGTTTGGCAAATACTATAGAGTTAGCAATTAAATGTCAGGAGAAAATGTAAGACAAAAACAAAAACATTGTAGATCGCATTCGTAAAATACAAGCAATTATTAATATTGATAATAAAGTCCTAGTTACCACACACGTACTGAGCGAAGCAAGCCAAGGTTTAACCTCCAAATTTACTCCAAGAAGAGATGGTCCATATATTGTAATTGCTAAAAAAGGATCATCTTGCTTTACAATTGCTACAGAGGAAGATGTTAATACTCCTGTTGCCACGCACTTGTTCCCTATGAAGGCAACGAAACCGATCTACCCAATACGAAAACAAGTAGGAAAGTATAGTGGGGCATGGCCGACCATATTTAAAATGTTTATTTTTCATAAAGAAACTTTTATGTTGAATTTTACCTTAATTCCAAAGTATTTAAGCAATTTATTGATAAAAAACAAAATTTTCTAAATGAGGCTTTATATATGAGTATAGGTCAAACATGGGCCGATCCTGATTATATTTGGGAAAAGGATATATTTTTAAATAACAGTTTAATAGGTTGTGGGGACAGGTGTACTCTATGCAGATGATTCACTACTCTATGCACACCACGAATCTCCCTCAGAAGCACTTAAAATTGTCTCTGGACACTTAGTAAAAGTTAAAGAAATTTATGATTTTTGGGGAATAAAAATAAATGCCTCTAAAAGTGAGGCAATTTGTTTAAGAAACGCATCTGGCAAATGTCCTTACTATGTTGTCCCTGAAAGTAAAAAACTGAAACTAAGTTTAAATGGTGTTGAAATACCTTTCAATGATAAATTTAAATACCTTGGTATTTATTTTAATAAACTTTTTAAATTCAATGACCACGGCAATATTATGTTAAAAAAAGTTTATAAAATTAAAGAATGTTTTGGCAGAGTGTTAATTCTCAAATAGGTTTTAATTTAACAAATACACCATACGTATCTCCTCTTGGAGTACAAAATGAAAATATTGTTTTTAACATGGCTAATTCGTCACCGGATTTTTTTAAAAAAACTTATCCTGGCTCTCACAGGGGTTAATTTTTTATTTGAAGTTTGTTTTTTTTATCTCTAGATTGTAAGAGTTAATTTTAAGTTTATTTAGTAATATATGAGATATACTCTCACGACATTGATAGCCTCGGGAGCAAGGGCTTTGACATGTAATTTTTAATATACAATTTAAACTATTATTGTTAAGTTTGGTACTGTATTTTTACGATATTAATATTTGTTTAAGACATTACATTATAATCTCAAATATTTCCTATTAGTTCTTATAAAATTGGTTTCAAAAGAAGTCTCAATAAATATAACTTTAACTTTAAATAACAGTTAGTTTTGTTGAGTTTCATTGCGATACAAATGGTTACAAGTCAATTTTAGACGTTTAAGACATTTTTTGCAGGGGGGTTTGTATGGGTGCTAGGGTCAAATTTTAGACGTTTAAGACATTCTTTGCAGGGGGGTTTGTATGGGTGCTAGGGTCAAATAAGGGCCGATCATTACGAAAATCTGCAGTGTCATTTATACTTATATAAAACTTATTTGTGCCAATTTTTAAAGAGATAATAGTATATTTGACGTAATTATGGCATAAAAAGCCCAAATCGGGAGGTACGGTTGTATGGGGGCTAGGAAAAATAATGGACCGATTTCAACCATTTTCAATAGGCTTCGTCCAAGTGATGTTTTTGCACTTAGTCAAAATTTCATCAAATTATCTTGAAAATTGCGGCCTGTACCTTGCGCACAAGGTTTACATGGACAGCCAGCCAGCCGGACAGACGGACTGACATGTCTTAATCGACTCAAAAAATGATTCGATCGGTATACTTTAAGGTGCACAAACGTATAATACCCTCCCCACTATAGTGGTGTAGGGTATTAAGAGGTCGCCCAAGAAGTGATGAAGCTCAAATGCAAAAACAACAACAACAACAACGAAATTAAACAAATACATGCCCATCAAGAAGATCAGCTCGTCTACAAAGTCAACAAGCCAACCCAGTCCAAAGTAGTTAAAACCATGGGTGCTGTTGTATCATCGGGACGATTTTATACAACAGAGGGGCAGAACTATTAATATATTTGTATGATCTCAATTTGTAGTGTTCGGTTGTATGGTGGCTAGGTGAAATAATGGGCCAATATCAACTAAAATTTTTCAGATTTTTTCTTACCTCAAACTTGTTAATGAGTTAGAATCCCTTTCAGTACTTGCATCAGATAATTTTGTTTCATGTTCAATAGAAGATTTGTCATTTCTTATAGTTTGCGTAATGCCGGTTACACTCCGATTTTTCGGTTCTTTCTCTAATGGCAACCAATCAGGATTTTGTTTAATATCCAAATTATTTTCACCTTTCAAAGCTGAAACGTAAAAATAAATTAAAATACATGAAATCGGTGGTTAACATTACGAAATATTATTGAATGAAACCCTTTCCTAATTTTAGTAAGAACACATTAAAATAATTTCGTTAATTACTATGGATTTTTTCAATGTAATAATACTTACTTAAATGATTATCTTTTATAAAAACATTGGGACGAAATTTATAAATTCCTTGCAATAATTCAGGATAGGTACCTCCATTCACTTCGTTTTGCTGAATTTCATATTGTGGCTTCAATTCGCTGAAAAATATTATAATTCAATTTGTAAAATTTAAAATTTAATATTTTGGAGATTTGCTATCAAATAATAATGGGTAATTAGTTTCATTCTAACCTCCATTTTCAACAAATTCAGTTATAATTTAACTATCAATTAGCATATTTTGTTTTTCACCAAATCCAAATTTTTTGTTTTCCACCAAAACAAAGTTTTCAGTTATGTACTTAACTGGTACATAATTAAGGAGTAAGATCATATGTATGTTAATAAAAAGGAAACCACTAAACTTAGAGTTTTATTTTTTTATTTGATTGAAATTATTTTTACAATTAAAAAAAAATATTTTTAAAGTTTTAATCACTAGTAATGAAATTTTGAACCTTTTTCGGAAACCCTTCCATTAACGTTTTTATAGTGCTTTCTGTCACTTTGCTCGAACAGGTAGTTCATCTCCGTTTAAAATCTACAACACTTTTGGACACCCTTTTGTGCTCTTCAAGAGTCCAATATCTCTCCACTGGCCTTAGCTTGGAGAATTTGCCTCTTTTGGTACAAATACCACATTATTGTACTTGTACCACTCAAGGGCTTGTTTATCATAGTGACAGGATGTCAAGTCAGGCCAAAAATTTCCGTGCTTTTTGTGGACCAAGTTGGGTTTTGTTGAAAATATTTAGTACGCACTTTTTTCTGGTCACTGATTTTAATCAAATTGTTGCAATTTCGGGACGAGTAGTGCCTCAAATGTCTTGACAATTGGTGACAGGAGTAAGATAAGCCTGTAAGATTCTCCCTGGTTTGCACTTTTCCCTGGCTTCAGCAAGGGAACAACCCTACCCAATTTCCAGACCTCGGGTATTATTAGGCTTGACATCGACAAATTAAGGACTTTTGTAAAGTAATCAACTCCCGGTTGATCCAAATTTTTCAGCATCAACATGGATATACCGTCTGGGCCAATAGCTTTCGATGACTTAGCATCTCTGGTGACCTTCGTAAACTCGCTCGTAGTAAAAACATATGGTCTGACACTGACTCGAAGATCGTGTAACTTCCATACGATGCTTTTTTTCGCCTTGTCTCTGTCGGGGTGCTTTATAAATTGATTAATGGCGATTAATTGCTTGAATAAATGAAAATACAAATATAATTATAAATAACACTGTCTGACACTCAAAAACACTCATTAAGCAATATAATGCTTTTTATAGATCTAGATTAGTAGATCATTTTACCATTTTTAGAATCTTCAATATACCCTGAAAATCGGAAGATGTTGGAAAAAAAAACGCTTTTTGTTGACTGGACAGACCAAAAATATTATATCTCAAAATTTTCTTAACCGATTTAATATTTTTCAACTGTATATACACACTAAACACACTTTTATATTTTTAAGGAAATGTGTAAAATATTTAGATCTAAATACAAATTTTTATATATATATTTTTTTTTTCTTTTAATTTTTTACGATTCACGATAATTTTTTACCCACACCAAATAAATCTATCTATCAAAAGTATTAATACAAACATTTATTTGTAACGGCTTTTGAAAAGCCGTTTTAATTGTATCGTTAGTAAAAATTCCGCTTGTAATTTATACAATATATGTACCTACATATCGCTACAAGACTGGCATAATCCAAAATTCGGCTTTCTTGAACTAAGGTCTTCAAAACATGCGACATACTAAAATCTTTCATATAGATTTATGAAATTTCAAATATGTCTATTATTTTCGATGTGAAATCGATTTTTTGTAAACGTAAAAACTAAAACCCACGTTTTTGTGAATATTAGACAACTAAAAATTTAATTTCAATTTAGATGAGAAACATATTAACCTCAACTATCTGAATCTGGATTTTTAAAACCCCTTGATTTGTTTAAAAGTTATTAAAAAAATAGTTAAATGTCATTAAATATTCATATCCATTTTTCTTGAAACGACTTTTTGGATTATGCCAATCCTGTAGGGCGATATATTCTAACTCCTTATAGATAGAGTAGTCGGGGGCTTAATGCAGTAACTCAGGATTGAAAAAATGAATTTAATGTTCTGAAAATTTATAAAAGTAAACCGCAAAAAGTAAACGCAAAAGTAAACCTTATTTAAAATAATTATTTTATGAAAATTTTTTTGTTGGAGGCACATAAAATAAATTTTTATCACGATTCGATATACTGCCATAAATCTTTCAATTGTTTTTTTTTTAATCTTAACTGAAGAGTCAGGGTTGGAAGATTTGTATGATGTAAAATTGAAAGAAATAAAAATTAAAATTTAAATTCTAGAAATTTCATTCCTAAAAATTAAAAAAAAAATACATATATTTATATTATAAAACGGAGCTAATATTTTAGTTTTTGATGTTATTTTTGTATTTTTTTAAGAGAAACTTTGAAAAAAATGGAAAAAAGCAGTGTAGGGAAAAATGTAGGGAAAATAAAAAGTGGGTGTAGGGAAAAAAGGGATTTTTTCTCATAAGCGTAGGGATTTCTGAAAAAAATCTCCTGGCATCACTGACCCAGGCACTCCTCCTCAATGCGATGACGCTGGATAGTTCCAGGGTAATGTTAAATTAATGACATGTGCAGACGAACGCTCAGCGTTGCTGCTCAAGTCTGCCATTTCACTATTTGGTGAGGTATGGGATGGATCTAAGGTTGATGTGGTGACTCCTGAGGAGATACCACGCAGGCCTCGATCCATCGCCAAAATACCGTCTGAGCCCTCCACTCCCGAAGAGATATTGGAGATCCTAAAGTGCTGTAACCCTCAGCTTCCAACAAATGATTGGAAAGTTGTAAGGGTTTCAGAGGCTGATGGACCTTCAAGGCATGTGAACGTAGTCCTGAATAAGGAATCCTTGGAACCGCTGCGAGAAACAAAGGGGAAGGTCTATTACGGCTTCGGAACGATCTTCCTCCACAAAGGCGATCCCTCTCCAAAGGTGGAGGTGGATGACGAGATGACCGTGCAGTCAATAGAAGGCACGGTTAGCAACACAACCTCTGATCCCTCCGAGAGAGATGATGCTCAGTCAGTCTCTGAATTGATTTGCAAACTCTCTACTCGGAGAGATCGCCAACGCCGATGTTGTTACCCCAGGAGATGGTGAGATTGACTCACATCAATCTACACCACTCTAAAGTAGCAACAGCTGCATTGCTCCTCCGAGTGGCGCAGAGAGGGGAGGAGCTAATAATGGTCCAAGAAACATGGATCCACCTGGATTGGGTTTGCGGACTACAACATAAGGACTATAAAATCCTGTATGTTAAAAGTTCAGATAAAGTAAGGTCCTGTATTCTGGTTTTCTAGCTATATGGCCCATCACGGGGATTGTCCTCCCAATAACACGGGGATTGTCCTCCCAATAACAATGACCACAGATTGGTAGATAAGGCGAATATGCACAATATCCCTGTCGTCATATGTGCTGACGCTAACTCGCACTACAGTATTTGGGGTAGAAGCGACACCAACACAAGAGGTGAGCAACTTTTTAATTTCATTATTAGTAGAAATTTGGAAGTAGTAAATAGGGCTTCAGAACCCACTTTCATTGTATCTAACAGAAGACAGGTACTAGACATTACGCTCGTGAGTACTAAGCACCGCGAATATATCACGCATTGGACCGTATCTAATGACTGTTCTTTGTCAGACCATCGATATAAAGACTTCATGATTGGTAATATAAAAGGGAATATGAATAGTTTTCTAAATAGAAGGAAGACGAACTGGGAAGTTCAACATAACCTGCTTTCCTCGTCTCTAATTTCTCTCCCTACTCTGGAAAGTACTGAGGACATTAACGCAGCAGTTCACACCCTAACGGATGCTTTTTGTATGGCGACTACAACTGCCTGAAAACCTTCCATCGAGAGAGGAAAATCCAAACCTTCATGGTGGAAAATTGAAATAGCAAACGCACAGTGTTGATAAAAGCCAATCTAACTGGAAAAAAGTAAAATTGTTTACATCTCAAAATTCACCCAATTTGTTTCTTATTTGTTACAAAAACATTCAGTGCTCATAACTATATATCAGATTTTTTGTATGTTTATTATTTGCTTTGCTATGTAGATTCAAATATGAGCAATTGCATTATAGCATTTTTTATAAAATGTAGTCTTTTCTTAGCATCATTTTTGAACTGATCGTAGTAGCAAACAATAAAAGTATTTTACTTTTCTCTTTTTTTACTAATAATACAAATGTTTTTAGTGTGAAAAAATTGTGGTCGAAAATGAGTTATTTGTGTAATAAATATTTTGGATAGTCAGACATTTAGTGTAACTTTCAAATTAGATTCCCGCGGATTCCGTATAATCTTTTATTGTATATTTATCTGTATAAAAAAAGATTTGCTGCTAATACCTGCAAATACGTTTTCTAGATACAAATATAGATTACATATCCATAACTCGGAGAGAGCTTTGTAAAATGTGCGGAATGTCGAAATGGAAAGCAAAAAAAATTATATAAAAAACACATAATAGTATTTTACATATAGAGGAATACCGAACGACACGTTTTGGGGTGGAATAGGTCTCCTTAGTACATAAAAAGGGCAATTTTGAACGAATTCTATTCAGATGTATTGAAAATTTTCAATTTTCATTTTATTTTAATGCATGCGCAAATGAAGACTTCACTCCAAAAATTATCAAGGGTCCTCTAAATGTATAATTCCGTCAAAATTTCATAATTTAAACAAAACAAAAATTATGAGTTTCTATGGGAAGTGCCACACCCATAATGCCCATTTTTGGCACAAAGAAAGAAATACTAAATTACAAAATTTCATGCTTCTAGCTGCTTCCAAAAATAAGTTATGACTTTTTTCCAGCTAGATTGGCTTTTGGCAACACTGTGAAACGCTAGCAAAGTATGTCGTAAACTGTTCAATAAGGTAAAAAGGACCAATAACTGGATAGACCTCAGTGAATCGTTTTAAAAACTTGACTAGAAATGCGATGCGGAAGGCGTGCAGGGACTGCACGAATGT